GAGAGCGAACACTTACAGGGAGGTGTTTTCTCACGGGAACGCGTGTGCACTGTTGTTGGCAGCCCTGAGCTGTGAGCTCCTCATCTGGACGCCCCTGAACGGGAGCCGCAGGACAGAGGTTCCCCATCCCACGTTTGCCTGATTTTGTGCACGCTGTTTTCGCATCAGAGAGGTGTGTGCTTGCGTGGACGCCTGCCTCGCTGCGCGGGGTGGAGCGCCGCGGCTGGGGTGCGGGGGGCTCACACTGACCTGCTCCTTGTGGCCAGGACGTGGTGGGCGTGTCACCTGGCAGCCCCTCTGCAGCGTCGGGGTCACAGGTCACAGCACTCCTTGGGGGTGTGGACGGGGCAAATCCGGGAACGTAGCTAGAGTCTAAGACTGCTCGCTTCCGTTTCTCTAAAATTTTTACGCCCCAACAGGTACCTCTGTTCTCATCTTCTTTTTAGGCAATTGGAACATTTAACCACAAAGTTGAATAGTTGAGTCTTTGTCACATTTCACTGCATTGATTGTGTCTCTTCCTGACCACGGACATCAGTGGTTTTCCCACCAGTGGCCCGAACAGCCTCGTGTCTGGTTTCATGGAGAATGTTTATTTTCACAGGGCGCTGGAGCACCTGGGGAATGGACACTGTTGGAGGGAATCAACATGCTTTTTAACACATTTCTGGGTGTGTGTTTGTGTTCAAGTTGAACAGATTTCGGGGATGCTGAGGCTGCGGCTGATGGTGAAGCTGAGGTCGGCTCCTTTGCTCTGGACCCTTGGATGAGGGGCCTTGGGGAGGGCGGGTTTGGACCCGGGCTGGCACACACAGCTCCGTCCACTCTGCCTGGACCCGACACCACTTCATCCCTCTGGGACATGCCCCCGCGCGCCCCCAGGCCTGCGTCCTCCACACCGCTGGGCAGTTCCCTCCCTCCGCAGGCGACTCAGAAAGAAGGTCGGGGAGCCAGGGGCCGCTTTCATCCTCAGTGCACAGTGTTAAAGGTGACAACTGGGGAGAAACATTTTTTCCACTGAAAAGAAACCACAAACCTGTTTCCGTACAGACTGGAGGCCGGACTGACATCCCCACACAGATGTCCCCTTCCGAAGGCTTCGCCTTCATCGAGGCGTGTGGACTTGAGCACAGAGATGGAATCCTCCCCCCACGACAGGAAGGCCGTTGTCCTGTGTCCTCCAGTCCGACTGGCCCTCCGGGACCAGCTCCTGTGAGGCTGGAGCAGAGTTCAGGACGGAAGCACATCACTGATGATGAACTGAAACGTTCCTGACTGAAGGTGCCGGTCTGCGCGCCCACACCGCCCGCAGGCCTTGTCGCGACCCTTTCAGCTGCGCCTCTGGCCCGCGGCGCAGCTCCGAGCCAGACCGCTTAGCCAGGCGGCCTGCCCTGGGCCCTAGGAAAGCCCCTCCTCGGACGCAGCGTCTCTAACGGGGACATGCACTCAGTGGGTCCCACGCTCAGCAGAGGCCACTGTGTGCACAGGGCTGCGGCCGGCTCCGGGCAGGGAGGACGCGGCCGGCCTGGGCGCCAGGCCCTGTGGCTGGGTGTCCCGTGGTGTGTGTGCTCGCGCTGGTTCGCAGCACTGGTGGGAGGGCTGTCGGTGTGCACGCGCCTCCCTTGGGAGCACACAGCCCTGTGCGCGGAGCAGGCGGCCCACTCAGGTGGCCATGCCGCACCTCAGCCTCAGGCCCACTCCGTTCTGTCCTGGGGGTGGCGGCCAGCCGGGCTGGGCCCTGCGATGGGGAGGGCTCTGGCTTGGACTTGAGTTTCTTAGAAATGGAACAGGTGTGGTCAAGGTGAGGATCGAGGCAGGTTAGCTGTCCCGCGGCAGCCAGAGCAGCAGGGAGAGGCCCCCAGAGGACGCGGATGGAGGGCAGACCTCAGCCTAGAGCAGGTCAGGGTGGGGCCCCAGGGAGGAGGCAGGGCTGGGGGACGGGGCTGATCTCAGCCCAGTGTAGGGCTGAGGGGTGTGGGGATAGGGCCTGGGCTCCTCCTGTCTGCTATGTGACCCCCAGGGTGGGGATCTGCTGTGGGGTGGCATCGGGGTCTTAGTGTGTGTGTGTGTGTGTGTGTGTGTGTGTGTGTGTACGTGTACGTGTGTGCCTGTGTGTCTGGGGTAGAGGCTGATTGACCAGTCAGGACAGGAGGCCGAACTCCTGCCCCGCCCAGACCACCCTGGCCCTGGCTGTGCTGAGGGGGCTCTGTGTATAGGCCGGGAGCAGGGGGCACACTGTGGCCTGAAGGGCCTCACTGAATTGCAGCAGAGTCGTCGTCCATGCTGGAGACGGGGACGGGGTGTCCTGACTGTGCCATCGTCACTGTGAGACGGGGACAGGTGTCCGGGCTATGCTTTCGTCACTGTGAGACGGGGACGGGGTGTCCGGGCTGTGCCGTCGTCACTATGAGACGGGGACGGGGTGTCCGGGCTGTGCCGTCGTCACTGGGAGACGGGGACGGGGTGTCCGGGCTGTGCCGTCGTCACTGGGAGACGGGGATGGGGTGTCCGGGCTGTGCTGTCGTCATTGTGAGACGGGGACGGGGTGTCCGGGCTGTGCCATCGTCACTGTGAGACGGGGACAGGTGTCCGGGCTGTGCCGTCGTCACTGGGAGACGGGGACAGGTGTCCGGGCTGTGCTGTTGTCATTGTGAGACGGGGAGGCGGTGTCCGGGCTGTGCCGTCATCACTGTGAGATGGGGACGGGGTGTCCGGGCTGTGCCGTCGTCACTGTGAGACGTCCTGACTGCTGGCTGCTCGAGGCCACGTGCCAGGCTGGCATGGAGGAGACGCACTGCGCCACCAGGGTCCTCGCTGGGAAATTCCCACCCAGGTCTCCAGCTGCTCCTCACTGAGCTTGGTGACGGATGCCCTTCTGCTCCAGAGGGACCTGGTTCCATCTGCGGCCGGAGCGCCTCTGCCTAAGGGCAGAAGTTAGATCTGGAACAGGGGCGAGGGACTTACGTTGTTAGATCCAGCTCACATTTTTCACCTCTTTGGAAATAAAATCTTTTAAAACCGAAAAGTACCTTAAAGTAGGGAAGGAGTAAGTACATTTTCTCAACATTCCCAGAAACGATGCTAAAAGTCAGAGTTCTTCCTGCCGGGTGACCCTCCCCTGCTGGCTCCACGTCAAGACTGGGCTGTGCCGCTCCCTTGGACATTGTGGTTCGCACCAGGTTTCAGCCTGGGTGCCACCGGGCTGGCAGAGCACCTGTGACCCTGGGCTGGCAGGTGCCGGCAGGGCTGCCTGTGGGGGCGGCTCAGGGTTAGGAAGACGTGGTCTGTGGTGGCCGCTGTGGTGGTTTCCTGTCCTTGTGCAGTCACCTCCCCTTGCACGTGGGCCGGCCGGTGACCTGCTTCTAACCAGTGGGCTGTGGCTAGTGGGTGGGTGTCACTTCTGTGGTCCGCCCACATAAGGGAGGCGGTGACTTGCCTTTTGACGGCAGACTCTTTCCCTCGGCGACCTTGGTGGAGCGTATGGAGATGCTGGCCGCCTGGGCCCACAGCCAGGAGGCGCTGGGACCTCAGCCCAGCAGCTCTGCTCATCCTTCCTGTGAGGACAGCGGTGACACCGAGCCCTGAGCCCGGCTGACGCCTTCCGTGCAGAGTAGATGTCACAGATCTGACCCCCCCCCCCACGGGAGCTCTCTGGGGCTCTCCAATCGTCAGGGGCATGGGGGGCTGGGGCACAGGGCTGAGGGCCCGCTGTAGACTGTCTTGTGGTCAGGGTGGTATCCCCCACATTCTCTCAGGCTGGTTTAGGACACGGATTCATGAGAGCTGATCGGTAGATGCCACTTATGTTTATGATCTAGGGAAGCAGCGTCTGCACTTCCGCTGACATTTGTGAACGAGGGAGCACTGTCCCATCTCAGAGGCCCCATCAGGGTGGAGCCAGGCCTCTGCCCACATCGGGCTGCAGTTCCGGCCTTCAGGGGCCGCTGGTGGCTCCTGCCTCGGTGCTTGCTCAGAGCTTCGGCCGCTGACTGCTCATAATGCATGTGAGCCTCGCTGAAGCTGAAGAGCATTGGGCTCGTGAAATGCGGGTGCTCCTGCCCCTTCGCAGGATGGCGGACGTAGGGGAGGAGCAGGCCCTCTGGGACTGGGAAGTGCCGGTGTGAGGGAGATGCGGTTTAGGGAGGTGGAGAGGACAGCTGTGAAGAGTGGTTGGCGGGAGGGCACATCTCCTCTGGGCCAGGCTGCTGCAGTGTCCTTGACCCTTCCCGGGGCTCGGCCTCCAGAGCCGCGGTCTGCGTTCCTGTGTGCCCGCTGCTCGTTACATTGTAGCAGCGCGCGGCTGCCGTTCCTGTGTGCCCGCTGCTCGTTACATTGTAGCAGCGCGCGGCTGCCGTTCCTGTGTGCCCGCTGCTCGTTACATTGTAGCAGCGCGCGGCTGCCGTTCCTGTGTGCCCGCTGCTCGTTACATTGTAGCAGCGCGCGGCTGCCGTTCCTGTGTGCCCGCTGCTCGCTGCTCGTTACATTGTAGCAGCGCACGGCTGCCTGTCCTGTGTGCCCGCTGCTCGCTGCTCGTTACATTGTAGCAGCGCACGGCTGCCTGTCCTGTGTGCCCGCTGCTCGCTGCTCGTTACATTGTAGCAGCGCACGGCTGCCGTTCCTGTGTGCCCGCTGCTCGCTGCTCGTTACATTGTAGCAGCGCACGGCTGCCGTTCCTGTGTGCCCGCTGCTCGCTGCTCGTTACATTGTAGCAGCGCACGGCTGCCTGTCCTGTGTGCCCGCTGCTCGCTGCTCGTTACATTGTAGCAGCGCACGGCTGCCGGTCCTGTGTGCCCGCTGCATGGTTCCCACTGCTTCCACACGCAGTCAGCGAGGGGCAAGATTCGATTTCCTGAAACCATGTTGTGTTCACATCCTTGTAGATGATCGGTTTTAAGAAGTCAAAGTTTAACATACATAGGCTTTCTGTCGTCTGGGGGCACTATTTGTGGTCCTTCCATCTTTCTTTGCCAAAGCTGTGATTTGTTTTCTGTTTTTGACAGATCACCAGAAACTGGAAAGGGAAGCTAGGATCTGCCGTCTTCTGAAGCACCCCAACATCGGTGAGGACACGTTTCCGGTGCATAAACCCCTACTCGGCGTTCATGGTGCATGTTCCCACTGCAGTGAGACGTTTAATTGGTGATCCGGTATTTAAACTATCATCCAATAGCTTCCCAGAAATAGCAGTTCTCTATGTATTAACATTTAGAAACAGATATAAGATGATATTAGCTGAGTGTTGCCTTTACATGTCTTTGGGTTTGTTCAGAAGCAGATGAAGCTGGGGAGACAGTTGACGCCACTGCTAGTCATTGACATTACTGTTTACCTGTCGTGTAGGAAGTTTACCTTACGATCTCTGATTCCATTCCAGAAGCTAGTAAAATTATTTTAGAGTATTATCTTTCCTGAGTTTTAAAATATGGTAATGTTCAAAATAAACGACAACTGTGAGAATCACAGAGGAAACATGAGAGAGGACGAGCGCTGTGCTGGACAGGGGACGAGGTCGGAGCACGTGGGCACGTCCTGCCCAGCCCTTCTGATGGGGGTGGGGCCGCCAGCCGGGTGCAGATGGCTCACCGAGAGGCTGGCGGCCCTCCTCCGTGCCAGGCCGCACAGTGTCCTCTTCTGCCTGGGGCCTCCGGATGCCCGTCCCTGGGAGCTCCCAGGGGAACGAGCAGGGCCTGCGGAGCAGACCTGAGGCCACGCCCCGAGAGCTGTCTGAGGGCCTGCGGGGCGTGCGGTGGCTGTGTCCCCGAGGGGCGCTCTGCCCATCACAGGCACAGCCTTTGCCCTTCCCTCCTCCACCCGCTGTGGGCTCCCCTTTCTCACATCCTCGGGCTTTGGATTTCAGAGACTCCATTGGACAGTGTTCCCAGGATCTGCTCCCCTTTTCTTCTGTGCCTCTCAGCACAGAACTGTCCTCTGAGCACTTGCCCCAGAGAGACCCTGACCAGCGGAGAGCGGCCCCGTGAGCCTGTCCACAGGCTGCTCACACCCGCCGTCACGCACACCCCACGGTGGGCTGCGGGAAGCAGCCGGGTGGAGGGCTGGAGGGAACAGCTTGAACCCTTGTGTTTATTTCTTTTTCCTTTTTTATAATAAGTCTCGTGTATGTTAGCTTTCTCATTTTGCTGTGGCCAGTTTCATACCCCTTTCGATAAACCACAAAAATGTAATTTTTTTTCTTTACTGATTTTAGAGAGGAAGGGGGAGAGAGAGATGGAAACATGGACGAGAGAGAACATCGATTGGCTGCCTCCTGCACACCCCCCACTGAGGATTTAGCCTACAACCTGGGCACGTGCCCTGACAGGGAATCGAACCAACAACCCCTTGGTGCAGGGGTCGATGGTCAACCACTGAACCACACTGGCTGGGCCAAAAATGTAATTTTTACTTGTCTCACTCAACATAATGGACTGAGAGTGGCCGCAGCCAGGCCGTGTTCTAGGCTCCTTGCTCTGCTGTGCCTGGCAGTCAGGAGACAGCGTCCCTGCCCTCCCACAGCCGCCTGTCGGTTCTGTGACGGTGCAGGGGCGGCCTCCCTGCAGAGCTGCGTCGGACACTTGGAGGCCAGGAGACTGTGTGGCTGCTGTCAGAGAAGCAGCTGTCCACGAGGCACAGCGGTCAGAGTTCCTGCGTGGGGGGCAGTGCAGCAGAGCCCTGGGCACCGAGCGCCCCTGGAGACCGAGCTCCCTTGGGCACGGAGCTCCCTTGGGCACCGAGCGCCCCTGGGGACCGAGCTCCCTTGGGCACCGAGCGCCCCTGGGCACCGAGCGCCCCTGGGGACCGAGCGCCCCTGGGGACCAAGCTCCCTTGGGGACCGAGCGCCCCTGGAGACCGAGCTCCCTTGGGCACCAGGTGCCCCTGGAGACCGAGCTCCCTTGGGCACCGAGCAGCGCCCCTGGGGACCGAGCGCCCCTGGGGACCGAGCTCCCTTGGGGACCAAGCGCCCCTGGAGACCGAGCTCCCTTGGGCACCAGGTGCCCCTGGAGACTGAGCTCCCTTGGGCACCGAGCGTCCCTGGGGACCGAGCGCCCCTGGGCACCGAGCGCCCCTGGAGACTGAGCTCCTTTGGGCACCAGGTGCCCCTGGAGACCGAGCTCCCTTGGGCACCGAGCGCCAGGGAGCAGAAAGAGGCCTCAGTGGTGGAGAAAGACTAGGCGGAGATCTCAGGTGTGGGGTGGGGGCTTTGCTAAACTGACCAGAAAAGATTCTTGGAGGCTGACCAAGGACAGAGACACCCAGGGGGGTGAGGAACTTGGTCAGACATCAGGGAGAACCCCCAGCAGGAGTCTCCCTCAGGCTGCTGAGGCAGGTGGAGGACAGGTCCTAGGGGACAGGCCCAGGTGAGGGCTGGGCCTGTGTGCAGGGCGGTGGGCCTGTCACAGGTTGGAGAGGCGAGTCCATGGAGCTGCGTCCCAGCTGTGTCTGAGCTGGCGTCAGGTGACTGGAAGATCAGCCATGGAAAAGCCTGCGGAGAGAGGGCTGTGGACAGGGCCTCCCCCTAGGGCAGGGCTGGGCAGTGTGGCCGTCCCTGGGTGAGAGGGAGGGGAGCCGAGAGGCCTGTTCGGGTGGAGGGCTGCGGGGGCAGCGGCGTCTGCGCTGCGTCCTAGGCGCAGTGGGAAGCTGGGCAAGTCTGAGCACAGGCGTGTGTCGCCGTCCGACCCGCTGGCTGCCGTGTTGAAATGCCCATAGTCATGCGCGCCGCCCACCCATCACATCCGGTATGTGCCACCCCAGTCCCTGGCCGCCTCGTCTTGGGAAGAACGTCAGTGGCCGCAGCCTGGCTCTGTCTTCACGTGGCCTCCCCGAGGCTCCGTCTCTGCTCAGCCTTTGGAGCCGCAGCCGGATGGTCTGCATGAGCCCAGCTGGAGACTGCAGCCCGGCCCAGCGCCAGGGTGCGGAGCAGTTTGCAGAGGACCCTGCCTCACTCGGGCTCGTCCTGTGAGCTCGCCTTTTCCTCCGTGTCTCATTTCCCAGAGCGCTCGTCTCCTCGTGAGAGCCGGTGCCCAGGCAGCTGTGTCGCACCCACAGTCAGGGGAGCCTTCACGGTGGGAACTCACGCGGGCGAGGCAGCAGCACAGTGTCCTCAAAGTCCCCCTGGGTCTCCCTCGACTCTGTGCTCGGCCTCTGCTGACATCAGTCCCGAGGGCTTACTGTGCTGCAGCCCGGACATCTTGCAGCAGCTGGGAGCCAGGGGGACGCCCGGGCAGCACCAGCGCGAGGGGAGTGGACCGGGAGGGGCGGAGGGAGCAGCTTGCCCACTCGAGGACCAGGAGCGGACACGCTGTGGCCCGGCCCGGCAGGGACGTCAGGGCATAGGTGCTGCCCGGAGGACGGCCGCGTGGAGGCCGAGCTCGCCTTGCGGTGGCCGTGGACGCTCACTCGCCGCACGGACGGGGAGGCCGCATGTGTCCGGATGTCTGAGCGAACATCTGGGAAATCCACGTGTGCCCCGTCCGTGAGCCTTCCTGAGGGACCCGCGCAGCACGGCGCCCCTGCCGGGGTCACACCCTAAGATCGTCACGGCTGCCTCCTTCCTGTCAGCTTGCCCGCCGCCACCCCAAGCACAGGCCGCCGCGTGCATGGCGTTGGGCAGCGCAGAGTTTAGGGAGAGGATGGCCCAGGGCCGCAGCGGACCTCACCACCCTCTCTGACCAGGGCTGGCTGAGCCCCGAGCACCCCTGCCTGGCGCCCCGCTTGGCCTCTGTGCTGCAGACCAGGTGCCGCTCCTCTGAGAGCTGTCGGGCTCGGGCGTCGCGGGGGACGGCAGTGTGAGCGGCCCACGCTGCCCGCCTCCTGGGTGCTGCCTGATGCGGCGTGGTCCGGCACCTTCCCGAGCGCAGACGCGCAGCCTCCGGAGGCCGTTGCGGAAACACGTTTGCTGTGTGACATGCACGGACGCTGCCGCGGGTGCAGATGGTGCTCCCACAGGCGGCAGCAGCACCGGCCTCACAGGTCGTCCGCGCTCGGTCACTCCTGCTCTAGCGACGGCAAAGCCGAATCACCCGAGTCTGCGTGGCTGCCTGCGTCACAGCCGGGTCTGGGTGACGGGCGCCCTGCTCGGGAGCCTCGCCGGCCACAGCACCCTTTCGAGGGGACTTCGACGTCCTTTTGGTTCACTCGAGTGTCCCATCCTGCCCGATACACGTTACATTAAAGCTTCGGATACCAGCACAGAAAACCAGAGCCGAGTCCGTCCTGGGGTGCGTCAGGAGTACCTGGGACCCCGCCTGTGCCCGTCGAGGGACTGCCGTGCCTCAGAGGCTGCTCTGCTGGACAGCCTCATAGGCAGGAGACGGAAGGAGAGCTGACAGACAGGTGGACGGACACAGAGAGCCTGTGAGTGAGGGCTGCCGCCCTCGTGAACCCGCGGGCCGTGGGGAAGCATTGTGCCACACCCGGACTCGGGCGGGACGCAGCTGCCCCGTCCCCACCGTGCATGCCGCCCCTCGCCTCGGACACTGTTGCCCCAGGTCCTAACCTCGGTCTCCGTAGTTTTCGCAGAAGTCCTTGGGCCAGATATCATCTGATTTTACAAGACAAAAACGAACGTTTTTGTTTGTTGAGTCTTTTTTTAAGAAAATTTTACCTTTTTGCTCTGCTCCGAGGGCAGTTTCCACCCACGCTCCTGGACTTTGTAAGGAACCAGCACGCGGTGTGTCCCAGCGAAGGTGGGCCGTGGCTGTCCCCATCGTCAGGTGCCCAGCGGCCGGCGGGCCTCGTCCCGCGGGGAGCCTGTGACCCGGGCGGCCGCACAGTCAGTGTGGAGCCAGGTCAGGGGGGCCAGCGACCGGCGGGCCTCGTCCCGCGGGGAGCCTGTGACCCGGGCGGCCGCACAGTCAGTGTGGAGCCAGGTCAGGGGGGCCAGCGACCGACGGGCCTCGTCCCGCGGGGAGCCTGTGACCCGGGCGGCAGCACAGTCAGTGTGGAGCCAGGTCGGGGGGGGCCAGCGACCGACGGGCCTCGTCCCGCGGGGAGCCTGTGACCCCCGGGCGGCCGCACAGTCAGTGTGGAGCCAGGTCGGGGGGGGGCCAGCGACCGACGGGCC